ACAAGACTTGATGTGAAAGCATAATACTTCTAATCTTGTAATAGTCACTTGCATTCAATATGAATAATTATCAAGTTGAATTTTTGAGTCGTCATTGTATAAGCTCTTAACAAGTACTTCAAATTTTATTTGTGGTGCTTAATATATGTTTACATTATTAATACAATTAACTCTTAATTTATTCTAGTTTTGAGCAAAAAAAAAAAAAAAATAAAAAAAAAAAAAGAATTTGATTGAATTGCAATTTTTGCAAAAAATTCAAAATATTGTTAAATTTTTTAAGTTTTAATATTAAAATGGAAAATAATTATAAAAAAGAAAAGAAAAAAGAAACACTTTCGTGTGCACATACTCGTATAACAATATTTTTTTCCCAGGAGTGTATATGTAGTACAGTAGGATATCTCTGTCAGTAAACCGGCTTTTTTGTTTTTGTTTTTAAGGATTGGTCGTTTAAAATACCGGTCCAAATTTACATTGTCGCTTTTATTATTATTCAATTTACATATTATACCTATACTACTTGGTATATCGAAATCGTATCCATATATTGTTATATGCACATGAATTCTTGAGGTTGCCAGAATACAAAATAACAAAAAGAAAAGTTAATAACTTCAAACTTCATAAAAATTATCAATTAAATTACTAAAATTATTTGAATTCATTTCACCTAAGTAAATTGGATCGTTAGAAAATTTTGTAGAACTTTGATTGTGTGAAATTTGACATTGATAAATTCGATAATCCCACATGAATTGCATTTTTTCCGTGTGGCAATTTAAAGATTTTAAAGAAGCTTGTTTGATAGCATTTTTCTTCTCTTTTTGTTTTTCTTTGCATTTGTGTTTTTTCTTATATTTTATATGACATTCACCAAAAAAAAAAAAAAATTGGGTTTTTTTTTTTGGACAATTTTGGACAATTTTTGCAATAGAACTTTTCTTGAACTAAAAATATTTTGTTATATTTGTTTAGCTATGCAGTATTGATTATTGCACTAAAGAATGCCATAACACTAGAAAAAAAATTCAACATAAAAATATTATTTATATACAGGATAAGATTAGAATAGTTGGTAACCAATTTATTTTAAATATTATATTATTATAATTTATGAAAAATATAACAAAATAAAATGTGCATTCATTTCAATTTTCAATAGTGTCATTATAGTTGAATATGGGTTATTCAAATAAATATACGCCAACTATAATATCACGCCAACTATATAGAATATAACACTGACGAAAAATACGATAAGTATATTTCAAGAATAGTTGATATGACAAAATTTGATAGCGAATAGTTTAAAATATTCATTTCTAATATAGTTTTGATTTAGAGGAAGGAAGGAGTACGGGTAACTAACGAGTAATGTTTTCGAAATTAATAAACGAAATTTTGTTTTATCGATGAGGAAATTCGAAAGCAGAAGGAATATAATTCCAAAGCAGAGGGAATACAATTTCAAATAATATTGTCCAAAATTAACTTGGAATGTAATGCACCTGATTTAAGAAGATTCGAACACTCTAGGAATATTTACCGTATTATATGTAAGTTTATATTATAATTTTTAATCTATTTTAATAATACCATGTGCATGATCGAGTATAAACAAAGAAAACAAAGAAGGATAAAAACATTAAATTTGCAAAAGAAAAAAAAAAGGTAAAAAATCCAAGGCAAAAAAAAATCAAAAGAGACTTACGAGCAAAAAATCTTTTATCCAAACCGGTATTTCCATTCACAATAATGTAGAGCAAGTTAACATTTTTAAGTGATTTTCTTTTTTTTAGGCACACAATAAGCTTACCTACTTACTCGTAGCTATGTATATCTATAAGCCAATAATAAATCAATTGTTTTCAATTTCGGTTTAGGCATTATAGCTTACAATATTTTAGAAAAGATTCTAATTTAATTATTTGAAATTATTTGAAATTTTTTTCCTTTTTTTTGTGGAAAATAATTGCAATGTTAAAGAAATTTCATTATCATGAAAATGTCATATCTGAATATGAAATCATTTAAGCTAAATGTGTTCATTGGACGAAAATAAAAATTATATCGGTGTCGTATATCGTTTCCTTTGAAAATCTGTCAATAGTTTGTTATTTCGAGTAAAGTTTTTTGTCAATAATCGGAGCCTCGATCTCTATATATTAATTAATTTAAAAAAGAACAAAATAGAAATGCCATTACGTTGAATGTACGAGTATAATATTTAAGAATAATTGGATGTAGTATAATTGAACTGTTATTAGTATTTATTTTGCATATACGAAGGAAAAATCTTTAAGACCGAAAAAGAACAAGACTAGCATCTGCGCACCCTTCTCAGATACTGGAAATTCATTGATCATATTAATATTTGTATTGTACTTTATCCAAGATTCCGTTTCTATTTATATATGTTTGTATATATTTCATTATATTTTTTTGTATTACAATTTTACAAGTTAATGTTGCTTAAAAAAGGTCAAACAATAAATTTAAAGAAACTCAATATTAGTATTAAGAGTAGCAACAATAATAGTAGCGTTATTTCTCAAAAAAAGAAAAAAAAAATACAATTAAATCTAATCAATGCACTTAATGGCACACACGATATACGACACACCTTGCAAAATAAATGTTAATTTTTAATTGTATGTACATTTTTGTTCTTTTAATGTGATGTAATTAAAAGTATATTATTAAGGATATACATGCTATATGAGATATCTTATATCTCATATACATAGATAAATTATAATTATTGCAATGTTGAACATGCCAATCGATTATTATACAACTCACAAAAGGCTGTCTATCAGTCTGTTTGCTTTAGTTCAAAGATATTGTGTGTGAAAGCAATATTTTTCTCATGCAAGGAGTTACATATTCCCTCTTACCTTTTTAAGTAAAGTTTTTCCAAATTTTGAAAATGCAATTATATTGAGAAACTAATTTATGTGCTATATCGAAAAAGTAATATAAATTTTTAAATTCTATGTTGACACAAAAAAAATCAGGACTTATTATTTTTAATATATGGAAAACTATAAGAAAATTGTTTATTAAGCTCTCGATTCAAAAGTTTCAGGAAAAAAGCCCTATTATACTGAATTTGAAAGTTGTCAAATATTACCACAATATGATGTGGTATTGTTGAGAAGGTCACAGCGAGATCTACACCATTTTTTCCAAGACATTTTTAGAAATAAACTTTCAGAGAATTCAGAGAGATTAACATGTTTAAAGGAACATGTTTAAATTTAAAATCATGTGATATATCTAGGCATTTAAACACTATTTAAATTTACAAAGTACTTAATGAGATTTTGGTTTGTTTTAATTTGTCTAATTAAGTATTTTAATTATTTTTTTCACATCAAGTCTTCTATGTAGTTATCTACATACATAAATAGGAAAAAAAATTTAATAATTAATTTTAATTTTTTCTATTACATAAATTAGTTTAACGTTATATAATTACTATTGTAATAGGTGCATACATAATAAAACTACAATCCAATAAGCAATACTATAACGGTAAGATGGTTATTTCACTGCTAGCTCATTCTCCTTAAAAACACGAATCGAGAATCGAGATAAACTTATGTACATACATATTTTTATTGTTTTTTCTTTCCAATGTCGCTAAAAACATTTTTTACATTATATTGAATTATAGGAAGTTTGATTTTTTCTTCTACATTAGTATTTGTAACATTTATATTTAATTTATTGAGTAATTAAACAATAGTAGCGCGTTTTATGAATTGCTAAAAAAAACCTGCATGCACATTTAATCGACCTTGAAAACTCTCTCTCTTTTTGTTCTCTGGTCATTCAAAATGTTTTATACGATATAATTTTTTTATCACAATGAGTGTTGCCAAATAGATTAGTTCAAATATCTTCATATTTTTAAAATAAAATATTTTTTGTGAAGAATCGATAAGAAAAAATCTTCAAGAACCTTTCGAGAAGTAGTTAAATCGGATTAAATTGCAAAAAATTTAAGATGCCAAAATATCTCGATTTCAATTCAAATCAAATCAGACATTGATAAGAAAATTTTATGAAAAGGACAATGCCATAATCGTATGTGCATTTAGTTATTGCGTCAAGTCGATTAATATTGAATTATGTGAAGCGGAGATCAAAAATATTTTCTGTCATGGAAATAGGGTTTCCTTTGCATTGCCTATATTAAACGTCTCTTTGATCAAAATGTTCTTTTGTGAAGTTTTGAAAATAAGGGAAAAGGTGTAAGAAATTCGAATTTTTAAAAATTTCATTAGCATTAAAAAATCTTAGTTTTGAAGATTAATCTTCACTTTCGACAGCGCTAATCACAATATTAATTCTTCGTTTCCCTGCTTTATCGTGATTTTAACAATTATTAAGTTATACTCGTAAAATAAAAGGAAAAAATAAAACGTGTTTGGTTTTAACTCTTCTTTTTTCTCCTCTCTGTGGCTTTCTTGAATTTCAAATTTCTTTATAGCTTTAATTTTCGTTAGTTTTGTTTTGATTAATTTTTTTTCCTCCCGATTATACCAAAGTTCTTTTTCATGATAAATTTTGAGTTATCATACACAATGAAATAAAGAAAGAGAAAAAAAAAAATGTGCCAAGTGCAAGGTTAAAATAAAAGAAGAAACCAAAATTAATTAATCAATAAATTATAAATTTCATTTCTTATTTATGAAATAAAAAAAAGTACAACTTAATCAAATTATCAATTAATGGTTATGTAAAATAGCACATTTCCTTTTTAATACGTATGTACGTATACTTTCTTTCAACTGACATAATATTGACACATAAAATTTTAGTTATAAGAGGGCGGATGGAAAGTTAAATTTTATTAAATCTTAATCCTCCTTTATCTTAAAGTTACCAAATTCATTTTTGACAACTTGTTCTATCAAAACCATACACATTTTTTTATTTTATCTGATTAAACTAAAGAATATTTACAATTTAATAATTTTTTTTTTCAGAAAATAAATAACAAAAACTTGTTCCAACTACGTGTCTTCTTTTTTTTTGTTTTCTTCGTCTAATTTATTTTGAATAAAGATGGCGATTGAGTTTTACAGAAATTTTATACATTTTTGTTTAATCTGCTCTTATTATGGTGTTACATCATTATTACAAGAACCTACAAATGCAAATAATATGATTACAAAACAATGGAAACTATTAGAATATGATTTTGAAAATAATAATAAGTTACCAATAAATGATAAAAGTTTTTATAATCCACAAAATATTGTTGCAACAGGTTTAGCTGTGTCATATGATAAAATATTTATTGCAACACCAAGATTATTTTCTGGTGTAGCGGCCACTGTTAGTACAGTATCAAAATATCATTATGATAAATCACCAAAATTACAGGTAAAAATATTTATTATTGTTATTAATAATTAAATTCAATCAAATATTTGGCCATAATACGGTTTGTCTCCATAATAATAAAATGTTTTATTATTATAGATACAAACCTTTTGTATTAATATTAAATTTTTATTTTCATTTTGGAATTGACATTGGGGGGACTTCGCTGGCATCCATTAAAACTTCATAATCTTTCAGTTAATAAAATAAATTGTAAAACTGAATGTGTAATTACAGAAACAAAAAAATACTATTAATAAATTTCATTTTTTTTAATAGGCTTTTCCAGATTGGTCATTTCATACAGTAAGTCTTAAAGAATATAATTGCAGTGATTTGGGATTGGTATCTGTTTATCGTCTTCGTATTGATTCATGTAATCGGTTATGGGCATTAGATGCTGGTGTTTCTAGATCATTAGAAGATTATGAAATAACATGTCCACCAAAAATTTTAATATTTGATTTGAATACAAATCAAGTTATTAGAAGGTAATGTTATGTACGGGTGATTGAAATAAAAATGGGTAAATTTTTTTTTTGAAACTATTGTCAATTATTAACGGTTTCCGAGATACAGGGATTTTAACGAATTTTCACGAAATTTCTAGTAGCCCAAACTTTTTTGCTCATAACTTTCAATCCGAAAAAGATAGGAGCTAAAAATGAACAGTTTGAAGCCCTTTACTTGAAATTCTTGACCTAGGAATTTTTTATCTTGGTGGCATATCTTGGTACCATAAAAGATTTTTAACGATTGATGGCTTAAATTAAAACTTAAACAGCTGTACAAATTATGTAAAAAAAAGTTCAAAAAATTTTCTACGAAATTATCGGGTTAGAGAAAAGTGCAAAAAATAAAAAAACTTTTCAAAAACTGTTGTTCTAAGTTTCTATTTTTTTTCAGAAGGAAAGTAATAAGCAAAAAAACTTGGACATGTAGATATTTCGTTAAAATTCTTTAAAATTCGTGTGCTTTAGAAGCCGTTGGGATTTGACACCCAATTTTGAACAAAAATTCTACTCATTTTTGATGCCCTAAAGGATGGTATATGTTATGTCAGTTAATACTGAATCATCCTGCATATATATATGTATACATATATGTATATGCATATAAAAAATAGATTCCATTTTTTTACAACAAAAATAATTTTATAAATTTATTAGAATCGATTTTCCAAAAGAAGTGATAAGAGGCGAATCTTTATTCACGAATTTGATTATTGATGAAACAACATCAAAACCTGGTGGTAATTGTGATGATGTTTTTGTTTATATAAGCGATACTGTAGAACCGGGTAGGTTTTTTCTTTTTTCTTTTCTCACGTTTTTTCATTTAAAATTTCAATTTTAAAAAATTTATTTTTACATTAAGCAATTGTGGTGTATGATAGTGGTAATGATCTCACATGGAGAGTATCACATCCATCAATGTATCCAGATCCTGATTTTGCACAATCCGAAATTGATGGACAAAAATTTGTTTTAATGGATGGTATTGTTGGATTAACATTTGATGAAAGAACTGGTATCATTTATTTTCAACCATTAGCAACTGAAAGGTAGGTTGATTTTTGCAAAAAATTTTATACAATTAATTCCTCACCTTTAGTCAATTTGATATTTTTGATGATAACGAAGTAATTATTTTAAAAGTAAATACCTATTAATTTATTTGCATTTGTTTTCATAATTTCATTAAGGTTATTTTCTGTTACAAAAGATGTATTAAGAGCTGGACCATTATCAAATAATGAAGTTCTACCAGTTAAATTAGTTGGAAAAAAATCATCTCAAGGTATCGGTCTAACAGTATCACCATTTGATAGTAGTATTATATTTAGTCCTTTAACTGAAACAGCAGTTGCATCATGGAATCCAAATACAAATAAGCAAACGTATGTTAAGAATCTAGAATTATTTAATTCTCGAATTATTATTTTTTATGTCTCGAATTATTTGTTTTTTATTTTATTCTATTTTAATTTTTCTTTTTAATTCCATATATATAGAATAATAGCATATGATCCAATTGCATTACAATTTGTTGCCGATATGTCATTATCAACAAGTGAACCAAATTTATTTTATTCTTTATCATCAAAATTTCATCGATATTTTTTAAAAAATTTAAATAAAAATGAATATAATATAAGAATAACAAAAATGAATTTACCAATAAATCTTGTTAATGATATACACTCAAGAACGACAATATATAATCAAAATCCAACAATATTACAATCTAAAACATTATCATCATCATCATTGCCAGCTTCTAGTATTGTTCCAACATCAACAAAATATTCTACAAGCAATAATAACAACAATAACTTTGGTCAATTACATTCAAATTCATTATTAGATCGTAAACAACCATTTCCATCACAATCAAATCAATATTTTCTTGGTATTGAACAACCATATCAATATGAATCAGTTGGTTTAATAAATCGAGGTCTAACTAATCCATTCACGGCCTTAAATCAAGGTGAAGAATTTCCATCGAAAAAAATTACTTCAGTATTACCAGTGCCATCAATATCATCATCTTCATCATCATCATCTGAATTAGAAATTGGAAAAGGAATAAATCATAATAGTTATCATCATCAATATCATAATCAACATCATCATCATCAACCACATCATCAATTGCATCATTTTCCAACAGTAATAACATCACCACCATCATCAACACAATTTCATCATGAAAACTATTTGAGAAGTATTCAAGGAACAGCATTCTTTAATTTTAATAACAATAAATTAAGAATTCCGAAAAATGTTAATGAAACTCAAATTTTTTAAAAAAAAAATGTTATAAGGAGAAATAAAAATTTTTTTTACACTTTCCTTTTATTTTATTTAATAAATAAGAAATAAAGTTGAGCCAAATAAATGGTTTGAATTGTAGCACCTTTCCCTTCAATCTGTAGAAGTTCTGTAAGCAAAAAATTAAATACATTTCTAACAATATACCAGGCAAGCAGGAATTGTAGCAAGTAGATCAGAAATTTACTTTTTCGCCAGCTAACATGCATGATCGCCTACTACTCTTATTGAAACTAAAATTGTAAAAAGGAGCAAAAAAATTAAAAAAATTTCTAAAGAAATACCAGGCAAAAAGGAATTCTAGCAAGTAGATCAGAAATTTACTTTTTCGCCTGCTAACATTCATGATCGCCTATTACTTTCATTAAAATTAAAATTGTAAAAAGGAGCAGAAAATTAAAAATTTTTCTAATAAAATACCCGGCGAGCAGGAATTGTAGAAAGTAGATCAGAACTTTACATTTTTGCTTGCTATCATTCATGATCGCCTATTAATTTCATTAAAATTAAAATTGTAAAAAGGAGCAAAAACTTAAAATTTTTTCCAATAAAATACCCGACCAGCAGGAATTTTTGTAGAAAGTAGATCAGAAATTTAAATTTTTGCTTGCTATCATTCATGATCGCCTATTAATTTCATTAAAATTAAAATTGTAAAAAGGAGCAAAAAATTAAACATTTTTCTAATAAAATACCCGGCGAACAGGAATTGTAGAAAGTAGATCAAAAATTTAGATTTTTGCTTGCTATCATTCATGATCGCCCATTACTTTCATTAAAATTAAAATTGTAAAAAGGAGCAAAAACTTAAAATTTTTTCCAATAAAATACCCGACCAGCAGGAATTTTTGTAGAAAGTAGATCAGAAATTTAAATTTTTGCTTGCTATCATTCATGATCGCCTATTACTTTCATTAAAATTAAAATTGTAAAAAGGAGCAAAAAATTAAAAATTTTTCTAATAAAATACCCGGCGAGCAGGAATTGTAGAAAGTAGATCAGAACTTTACATTTTTGCTTGCTATCATTCATGATCGCCTATTAATTTCATTAAAATTAAAATTGTAAAAAGGAGCAAAAACTTAAAATTTTTTCCAATAAAATAACCGACCAGCAGGAATTTTTGTAGAAAGTAGATCAGAAATTTAAATTTTTGCTTGCTATCATTCATGATCGCCTATTACTTTCATTAAAATTAAAATTGTAAAAAGGAGCAAAAAATTAAAAATTTTTCTAATAAAATACCCGGCGAGCAGGAATTGTAGAAAGTAGATCAGAAATTTAGATTTTTGCTTGCTATCATTCATGATCGCCTATTACTTTCATTAAAATTAAAATTGTAAAAAGGAGCAAAAAATTAAACATTTTTCTAATAAAATACCCGGCGAACAGGAAATGTAGAAAGTAGATCAGAAATTTGGATTTTTGCTTGCTATCATTCATGATCGCCTATTACTTTCATTAAAATTAAAATTGTAAAAAGGAGCAAAAAATTAAAAACTTTTCTAATAAAATACCCGGCAAGCAGGAATTGTGGAAAGTAGATCAGAAATTTACATTTTTGCTTGCTAACATTCATGATCGCCTATTACTTTCATTAAAATTAAAATTGTAAAAAGGAGCAAAAAATTAAACATTTTTCTAATAAAATACCCGGCAAGCAGGAATTGTAGAAAGTAGATCAGAAATTTAGATTTTTGCTTGCTATCATTCATGATCGCCAATTAATTTCATTAAAATTAATATTGTAAAAAGGAGCACAAACTTAAAATTTTTTCTAATAAAATACCCGACCAGCAGGAATTGTTGTAGAAAGTAGATCAGAAATTTACATTTTTGCTTGCTATCATTCATGATCGCCTATTAATTTCATTAAAATTAAAATTGTAAAAAGGAGCAAAAAATTAAACATTTTTCTAATAAAATACCAGGCGAACAGGAATTGTAGAAAATAGATCAGAAATTTAGATTTTTGCTTGCTATCATTCATGATCGCCTATTACTTTCATTAAAATTAAAATTGTAAAAAGGAGCAAAAAATTAAAAATTTTTCTAATAAAATACCCGGCGAGCAGGAATTGTAGCAAGTAGATTAGAAATTTAGATTTTTGCTTGCTATCATTCATGATCGCCTATTACTTTCATTAAAATTAAAATTGTAAAAAGGAGCAAAAAATTAAACATTTTTCTAATAAAATACCCGACCAGCAGGAATTTTTGTAGAAAGTAGATTAGAAATTTACATTTTTGCTTGCTATCATTCATGATCGCCTATTACTTTCATTAAAATTAAAATTGTCAAAAGGAGCAAAAAATTAAACATTTTTCTAATAAAATACCCGGCGAACAGGAATTGTAGAAAATAGATCAGAAATTTAGATTTTTGCTTGCTATCATTCATGATCGCCTATTACTTTCATTAAAATTAAAATTGTAAAAAGGAGCAAAAAATTAAAAATTTTTCTAATAAAATACCCGGCGAACAGGAATTGTAGAAAATAGATCAGAAATTTAGATTTTTGCTTGCTATCATTCATGATCGCCTATTACTTTCATTAAAATTAAAATTGTAAAAAGGAGCACAAACTTAAAAATTTTTCTAATAAAATACCCGGCGAACAGGAATTGTAGAAAATAGATCAGAAATTTACATTTTTGCTTGCTAACATTCATGATCGCCTATTACTTTCATTAAAATTAAAATTGTAAAAAGGAGCAAAAAATTAAAAATTTTTCTAATAAAATACCCGGCGAGCAGGAATTGTAGCAAGTAGATTAGAAATTTAGATTTTTGCTTGCTATCATTCATGATCGCCTATTACTTTCATTAAAATTAAAATTGTAAAAAGGAGCAAAAAATTAAACATTTTTCTAAAAAAATACCAGGCGAACAGGAATTGTAGAAAGTAGATCAGAAATTTAGATTTTTGCTTGCTATCATTCATGATCGCCTATTACTTTCATTAAAATTAAAATTGTAAAAAGTAGCAAGAACTTAAAATTTTTTCTAATAAAATACCCGACCAGCAGGAATTTTTGTAGAAAGTAGATTAGAAATTTACATTTTTGCTTGCTATCATTCATGATCGCCTATTACTTTCATTAAAATTAAAATTGTCAAAAGGAGCAAAAAATTAAACATTTTTCTAATAAAATACCCGGCGAACAGGAATTGTAGAAAGTTGATCAGAAATTTAGATTTTTGCTTGCTATCATTCATGATCGCCTATTACTTTCATTAAAATTAAAATTGTAAAAAGGAGCGAAAATTTAAAATTTTTTCTAATAAAATACCCGGCGAACAGGAATTGTAGAAAGTAGATCAGAAATTTACATTTTTGCTTGCTATCATTCATGATCGCCTATTACTTTCATTAAAATTAATATTGTAAAAAGGAGCACAAACTTAAAATTTTTTCTAATAAAATACCCGACCAGCAGGAATTGTTGTAGAAAGTAGATCAGAAATTTACATTTTTGCTTGCTATCATTCATGATCGCCTATTACTTTCATTAAAATTAAAATTGTCAAAAGGAGCAAAAAATTAAACATTTTTCTAATAAAATAGCCGGCGAACAGGAATTGTAGAAAATAGATCAGAAATTTAGATTTTTGCTTGCTATCATTCATGATCGCCTATTACTTTCATTAAAATTAAAATTGTAAAAAGGAGCAAAAAATTAAAAATTTTTCTAATAAAATACCCGGCGAGCAGGAATTGTAGCAAGTAGATTAGAAATTTAGATTTTTGCTTGCTATCATTCATGATCGCCTATTACTTTCATTAAAATTAAAATTGTAAAAAGGAGCAAAAAATTAAACATTTTTCTAAAAAAATACCAGGCGAACAGGAATTGTAGAAAGTAGATCAGAAATTTAGATTTTTGCTTGCTATCATTCATGATCGCCTATTACTTTCATTAAAATTAAAATTGTAAAAAGTAGCAAGAACTTAAAATTTTTTCTAATAAAATACCCGACCAGCAGGAATTTTTGTAGAAAGTAGATTAGAAATTTACATTTTTGCTTGCTATCATTCATGATCGCCTATTACTTTCATTAAAATTAAAATTGTCAAAAGGAGCAAAAAATTAAACATTTTTCTATTAAAATACCCGGCGAACAGGAATTGTAGAAAGTTGATCAGAAATTTAGATTTTTGCTTGCTATCATTCATGATCGCCTATTACTTTCATTAAAATTAAAATTGTAAAAAGGAGCGAAAATTTAAAATTTTTTCTAATAAAATACCCGGCGAACAGGAATTGTAGAAAGTAGATCAGAAATTTACATTTTTGCTTGCTATCATTCATGATCGCCTATTACTTTCATTAAAATTAAAATTGTAAAAAGGAGCAAAAAATTAAAAATTTTTCTAATAAAATACCCGACCAGCAGGAATTGTAGAAAGTTGATCAGAAATTTAGATTTTTGCTTGCTATCATTCATGATCGCCTATTACTTTCATTAAAATTAAAATTGTAAAAAGGAGCAAAAATTTAAAATTTTTTCTAATAAAATACCCGGCGAACAGGAATTGTAGAAAGTAGATCAGAAATTTAGATTTTTGCTTGCTATCATTCATGATCGCCTATTACTTTCATTAAAATTAAAATTGTAAAAAGGAGCACAAACTTAAAAATTTTTCTAATAAAATACCCGGCGAACAGGAATTGTAGAAAGTAGATCAGAAATTTAGATTTTTGCTTGCTATCATTAATGATCGCCTATTACTTTCATTAAAATTAAAATTGTAAAAAGGAGCAAAAAATTAAACATTTTTCTAATAAAATACCCGGCGAACAGGAATTGTAGAGAGTAGATCAGAAATTTAGATTTTTGCTTGCTATCATTCATGATCGCCTATTACTTTCATTAAAATTAAAATTGTAAAAAGGAGCACAAACTTAAAAATTTTTCTAATAAAATACCCAGCGAACAGGAATTGTAGGAAGTAGATCAGAAATTTAGATTTTTTCTTGCTATCATTAATGATCGCCTATTACTTTCATTAAAAT